GTTCAGAGGAACTGATAGGGTGCAAAAAAAAAGAAATGAGAGGCACCACGATTACTGACTTTGCTGTATGCCACATCTTTGCAATAGCCCAGACTTCCAGAACTGTTTTGAGGACAGTATCTGTTTCTGAAAACTGTACACAATACCTGTTTGTATACAGATGTGTATAAATATGCTAAAACACATGTATAAATATGTGCATGTGAAAAAACACAGACACATCCTGTAAAAATCAAGATTGCACATTCAAAATGTTCAAAGACAGAGTGATGATTACCAGCCCTGATGATTATACCTTCTCATGAGTCAGGACTGGGAGCACGTTGGATTATGCTGTGCCAGTCACACCGCATTCTCTTTAGAAATTGCTGGATAGGAGAAGAAAAGAAAGCTGAGAAGTTCTCAGGTTCAGCTATCTTGGCTCCCTATTTTTCCTTCACTTCTGCTCTTTCCTTTCCTATTCCAGGCAGGGAGAGCCTTGCACTCTGTGTCTTCCTTACAGTAACAAGCTGGAAGGATGTTAAGGACCTAACACTTACCCGCCCAACTATTTTCTCCATCCCTTCTAGAAGCCGCTTGTTTTGTTCTTCAATCTCTACAGCCTTCCAGAGGATGGTGTCTGGAGCTTCTTTGATTCTTTGTACTTCAGAGGCCAGATGAATCAGGGGATCATTCCAGGAGCGCAGCACTGCCATTACTAAATTGAGTAAGTCTTCATGCTGCTCACCCACATGAAGAAAAGGCAGTTAAAATAGGAAGGCTAAATGCTGGCAGCATTATGAAGCATTTAGAGCAATGTCCTCAGACACAGGGATTTGGGAACTTATTCCAGCATCTACCAATGAATGTGCCCTGTAGCCCTCTCTTAGATATCTCTATGCAACTGCATCTTTGAAGTTTTGTCATTGTTGTCATGTTTTACAATATTAGTACAAGCTAGAGTATTGCAATGGAAAATATCATTAAACCCTTTGTGGGTTGAAAACTAGGAAGCACAACTGTGTTTCTTCTATGTGAAAAAAAGAAAAAAAAATTCCTTATCTGATTTTTGACAAACATTTTAAAATCCAATTTTTTTTTTTTTTTTAAGTTTAGGACTGAATGGAAGCTGCACATTACGGTAAACCACTAGACAGCTTTTATTGCCTCTACATAACTCATCTGTCGTCCCCTTTGAACAATGGTGCTTCCAGTTCTCTGGGTTTAAAATTTGTCCTGTCATGTGGGCAATGAAAATTCATAAAGCTTATAATTATGGTAGTATTCAACAATTTCCCTTTGCTGGATATGAACACAGTCAGACTTGTTTGTACACAGGGCAGTGAATTCTATTGCTTTCAACAGAGTTTCTGAATGACATCCTGAGAAGCTGGCAATACTGGGATTGGAAGGATATCACCACCATGAAGCTGATAAAGGTTTCTCCCTGGCACACTCTCATTTGTACACCTATGAGCATAGGCTGACTAAGACTATCTTCATCTTCCCTTAAGCCTGTAATTATTAAATTGATGCACGTAACACGTTTCTCTTTACAAGTATTTTGCAGTACTTTCCACTAGAGGTTTTGTATTTGGATGATGATGTGACTGCTTTTGCCTACTGGTAACAGCAAGAATATCTATTTAGCATTTGTTTAGTCATGTCAGTGTTTTCAGTTATTGGAAAACTATTTACTTCTGCCTATACAGACAATGTATTTTTATGTTTGTTAATATAACAATTATCTAGAAGATGGTTTAAGATAATACTCAAAGGTTGTAGTGTTCTCAGTACTGTACAAGCATGGAAACTGGCATTGCTCCATGAGGTTATACTGCAATTGGAAGTAAGATGCAATGGCTGAATGTAACATTTAGGAAAAGGAAGAGAAGATGAAAGTTACCAGGTCTTATGTATTCTGTATAGTCAGTAACTTTGTATCATCAAATGTTAAATCAACATTTCTTGGGGTTTTGGTGCTTTCCTTTTCCTGGCTTTTTTATCCTGATTGAACTGATTTCCCTCTTCCCCTGTGTTCTGCCTCTCTGTTTCTTAATCCTCCCTCTTCCCCACCTTCTCCTGCATGATCTCACACGGAATGACATTAGAAATGGGACTTACATGGATCTGCTGAGCTTGCTCCTTATCTTCAGGAGTGGTTAAGGAGGAAGTGTGGCAGCCATTAACAGCTTTTGTAATAAAACCCCTGCCCTGGGCATAGCGTTCATCCTGCAGATCAGCAAGGACTGGCGTTAATGAAACAGGTAAAAGGAGCTTCAATTCCAACACTGTATTGACTAATTGGGGCTTCACTGCTTTATCACTGCTGTCAAAAGTTTATGGTGTGTCTTACAGTGAAACTGGCACCCAGCAAACACAAACTTGTCCCACAGATCAAGAATCATGGGAAAATGGTATGTTAATAGGAGTTTGGGGGATCTGAGCAATGATCAGCATTATACCCTCTACTCTGCTCTGGTGAGACCCCACCTGGAGTACTGCATCCAGTTCTGGAGCCCCCATTACAAGAGGGACGTGGACCTGCTGGAGCGCGTCCAGAGAAGGGCCACCAGAATGATCCGAGGGCTGGAGCAGCTCTCCTACGAGGACAGACTGAGAGAGTTGGGGCTGTTCAGTCTGGAGAAGAGAAGGCTCCGAGGTGACCTTATTGTGGCCTTCCAGTATCTTAGGGGGGCCTACAAGAAAGCTGGGGAGGGACTTTTTAGGATATTGAGTAACAACAGAACTAGAGGGAATGGGGCAAAGCTGGAAGTGGGCAGATTCAGGCTGGATGTGAGGAAGAAGTTTTTCCCCATGAGAGAGGTGAGACCCTGGAGTGGGTTGCCCAGGGAGGTGGTTGAGGCCCCATCCCTGGGGGTCTTTAAGGCCAGGCTGGATGAGGCTCTGGGGAGCCTGATCTAGTGGGAGGTGTCCGTGCTCATGGCAGAGGGGTTGGAACTGGGTGATCCTTGTGGTCCCTTCCAACCCTGACAGATTCTGATCTGTTTTAGCAGAGGACTTTAGAGCCCTAATAGCTCAATGGTTGGACTTGATGATCTTGAAGGTCCCTTCCAACCTAAATGATTCTATGATTCTATGATTCTACATGGATTTAGTCACCACTGGGACTATCACCGTGCAGCAGTCATATTTGTTTACTTATTGAATGATTTCATATGTTAACATATGTTTGTGCTTAACAAGTATAAAATTGCATTTTTCTATTTTCTCATTCTCAGGAAAAGACAGAGTACTTACAAATTCATTGAATATTTCTGAAGAGAGGAAGTGGATGTAGTGTGAAAGTTTAACTGCTCGGTCAAAAAGTTCCCCAAGGGAAACTTGGCAATTGACAGATCCACTGGGGCAGATTGGCAAGGAGGTCACTCCTTCCTTTGTCAGGAGCATGTTGGACACCAGCAGGACCACCAGCAACAAATCTGTTCAAGTTTAAAACAAACCAAAATGAAATCACATTGTCTTGTACATGCATGGAGAAGGAGTTGTCAGAGCCAAATGCTGGGCGATTTTGGCTGTGCTGCTGCATGGCTTGGAGCCCCTGTACTGGCTGCTGAGAATCAGGGAAGCAATCTGATTCTGTTATCCTTTCTCCCCTCCACCACCCCGACTATATAGCAGAGCCTGCTACACAGTTTGAGGAGACAAGGTAACCTGTGTTGCAGTGTACACTATATTCTAGAGTCTCTTACTATTATGCCTGACTTTATTACATAGTGATAAATGGAAGAAAAAAATCAAACTTCTTCACAGTGTAAATATAGATACATAATTATATTTGCTCAGAGATATAAGTTTGCAAAATAGATTGGTCTTTTTTTTTTCTTTTTTTTTTTTTTTCCTCCTCCTCCCACAGGTTTTTTAATTCTTTGCAAACATTTGGAGTATAAATTAATTTTGTGGGAGGGTGGTTAGGTCACTCTCTTAAGGTTTTGATTGTCCTGGGAGTTCCTTCAGAAGATTTCCAGCAGCTGTGCTCCTTTGCTGTTTAGAGTTTAACCCTAAATTGCCTACTGCTAAGAAATCAGAGAGAACTTGTTTCTTTTCTCCTAAGGTGATATAGATGATGACTCATTATCTAAACCACAAAATCTCACCTGTTTAAAAGTTTTAATATTAACTTAACAGAGTCAAGTTTTCTATTCAGTGAAATTAAATATGCACAGGAAAACAACAGAGAAAATTAAAAGCAAATATTTGGTAAATGAATGTAGTTATTCAAAAAACACTATTCTGTACTCTATAAATCAGCAGGGCTAATGCTTTCAAGTGATAAGTTTCTTTCTAGCTCTAAATTCAGGAAAAGTACTTTTGCACAGTATTGAAGTAAGCCTATCTCCTCCCCCATGAACAAGGTCTGTGCCACGTGCTGCAGTTAGGAAAGTACTCTGGGGAATAATTCTATGAATAAGAAAACCTGAGACTTGTTGGATGAGGAAGTTGAAGATGGTTATGAAAATATTCACTTCAAAATTGCTACATCACTTCTAGACTTGTGGATAGTGACTTCTAGTCATTGCCTTGAGTGGTGTAGCAAAGCAGTCTGGATCCAGTGCTTCACGTGCAGGTGTCAAATCTGTCAAGATAATTTTCTATGATACTGCCCAACACAAAAGTAGTCTTAGGAGACAAAAGACTGAGTAAAAAAGGGATCAAGCTGCCTTCCAATTCCAAGCTTTGGACACCAAATATTTGAGGTGGAAGCAAGCTCTCCATTACTGGAAGACTAGGTGGCTCAAAGACCACCTCAGTTTCTAGAGCTGTTACATTTCAGTTAGTTCCTAATTCAATCTAAATTTAAATAAATATAAAAGTTACCAGCAAGTGAATGGCAAAAGTCTTACCTTTCCACAAATCTCCCTTGTTGCTCATGTTAAGTATTTGGTATGATGACTTTCTCTACCAGAAAGAAGTCTCAATACTTGCTCTTGTTCTCTGTGCGTGCCACTTTTATATACACCGTCCAGGCTCCATTTTGCATACATTCAGCAGGTTGTGGAACTTACCTCAATAATTACAAACATCAAATTGCCTTTCTTCCACATTCATATTCAGTATTTTTTTTATTTTTTATTTTTAACTGTGAGCGGGAATTTCATTAACAAGTTCAGCTGTGGGATCCTAAGTATGACTGGATGAAGAGAGTGCCAAAATATTGCCCTGAACGAGATGTAAATGCCATTAATCCTACAAAGCACCAGTTGTCAATTCCAAGACAGGTATTCTCAATGTTTCTAGCCTGCTTCTCCCCTCCCCACAACTGTTTTCTCACCCTTCCTTGCTTCTTCAGCCATCCAAGCTTGCTTATGTTAAAACTCTGGCTATTTGTGAAGGGAAAACAATATTTTACAATGTCCATAGTGAGAGAAACAGCACTGGAATTTATCCAGATGAAGGGAATGGAGGTTCCTGGAAAGAGAGGTCACTATCTGTAAAATTATAGATATGTCATTCTGTGTATATAGCTCCATACAGTTAAAAAAGATATTACACAGCAAAGGTTATGATATAACTGATCCTCAGTCTGAGAGATGTTTAGAGAAATAAGGGCAGTTCTTACATTAAAAAAGTAATAATTTTCAGCAATCAAAGAGGAAGTTTTATGTTTACTGTTTAAGCACAAATGTTTCATGAATAAGTCAGCATTACTTTTTTAAAAACCCTCTACAAAACCATGAGATTGTTCTCTCTATTTGAAAACTCTCTGCGTATAAGATGTGCATTTCCACCATCCACAAAACATGTGCTGGTGTAATCGGTGAGATGTGTTTCCAGATCTGATGGGTCTGTGGTAAGCTACAAACCAGCCTCAGCAGATTGACCCTGTTTTCTTGTTGTATGAATATGTTAGCAAGTGTGTAATCTCTCATCTGTTTCTCAGGTCCGTTTACCCATGAAAAGATTTTCCAAATTAGATGATTATAATGAATAAAGTATAGAGTGTTAATGAATTTTCTTGTCCTCAGACAATTTGTTCCATTCTTGTGGAACAGGTATGTATGTAACCCTGACTGTTTCATTATTTCATAGCTATGGACGTGATGCTTGAAGCAATGATAAACAAGTGGGAAGAAAGGTAGAACATTTAGGATGTAAACCATGGAAGACATCCTTGGGAAGCAAAAAAAGGGGATGCTTCAGCAATAAAACAGAACCAGTACCAAGTGGTCAACAACTGCTGAGTTCTAGGATGCTTGCTAGAACAGGTTGTTCTGTTTAGAGGCTGGATCTTGTTTGAAAATTGAGGCCCTGCTTAGCAAAGGAGCAGTTGTTGCCTGCAGCAAGGGAAAGTCGCAATCCACTGAAGGCAGTAAAATTAGAATAGGGCCACAAACAAAAATTTAGAATGGATGCTCTCTTTAAATCACAGCCACGTGGCTTATGATCTATATTTATTCAGCTTCATTTGAAAATCTTCCCCAACAGGACTAGAGGTGAGCTTGAAAAGTCCTGATATCATGTTATAATATTAGAAGAGCCCTGCAAATAAATGGGATGAACACTTCTCAACCCAGCATTTGCTCTTTCATTTACTAGTCTGCTTTTCTAGGTATTTTGAGGGGTTGACAGGGATGCCAAAATAAGGCACACAATTAAGATTAGGGACTAGATAACAAAGGGAGATATGCACAAAGGCAGCAGATAAACTCCATAGGTTCCCTTTAGCATGAGTGGAGAGGGAAGCTCCTTTCAGGCCTGACAGCATCAGCTAAAGTCAGGACCCCCGTATGACTTAGACCTTAGAAAAGAGCCTGTCTCTTGATGTGTAAGGGTAGACAAGTACTTTAAATGTGGATCATTGGAAAGAGTTTTTTATTTGAAAGCATTCCATAGTATTTTGATTCAAGCATTCTACCACAGAATAATATCCTTTCTTTTTCTCTTGTATCTTTCATCCTGAAATCCTCAAATAATTTACAAATATTAATGGATTAAAATTGTCAACAATTAAGAATCATAGGCAAAAGGAGAGAAGAAATTCTCTGTACAGTAGATAAATATAAAGGTAAAATTCCTTTAACAGCTGTGACAAGTGATGTAGAGGTCAAGATACTTATTTGTGGCTGCACAGAAAGGCTCCAGGAAAAAGACCCAAAATTCCTGGTTCCCAGACCTGCACTTTAAGTGAAGACCATTGTTTCTCAGTAGTACCAAAAAAAAAAAAAATCAAAGGTGAGAGAATAAAAAGGAGAGGAAAAGTTACAATAGCCAGAAGTAAATAGGTCCAAATATTAATTTTCTTTTATAAATTAGGAATTGGGTTCTATTTAAAAGTTGAAAAAAAATCTTGAAAGTAGCTGGAAATGCTCTCCTCTGCCTTTTCAAAGTGGCCTGGGTTTATATCCTCCAAAGGAGTAATATGGAACTTGGCATCCCACCTTCTCTGTTCCCTCAACCTTGGTAAAGGAAGCTGATCCTAGCCCCTGATAGCTTCCTAATTCTGACAGTAGCCCAAGACAGTACTGTAAATGGGTGGATGGTCATCAGTAGTTGTGGAAAAGCTCCTGGAACAGCTTCAGAAACTACATCTCCCTCTATCTTTCCCTTTTGCTTTAGGAATTGTTTCTTTTTTTAATTGTCAGCTTGCTTTTATCTTCAAGAGCTTTTCTGGAAGTAAAATTAATAGATAGTTACTACCACATGTAAACAATATAGTAAACCCAAAAGAAGGGCCTACTATATGCAGACTTTATTATCTAGCTTTTAGCTCATTACTCATGTTTCATAGGCATTACTTGGAGCATATCAATATTACAGATAACAGCATTTAGTGCTCGTTTCTCAATATTCTTGTCTTTCCACCTCATATCAGGTTGCAGGCCATGAGTTAGACTGTCACATTTTGATTAAGAACTATTGATCAGTTCTGAAAGATTGAATATTCCTATTCCATGTTTATTGATTTAAAGTTTTTGAGATATGCAAAGTGTTCTGTCTGATTGATAACTACCACAGAAAAATCTTTTCTAATGCAATAGTTCTTTGCATTCTACTTATTTTAAGTAGGTGAATTGACGACTGGGTTATATTGCTTGATTTTGTCTTTTACTTACCTGGAAGTATGTATATTAAATAATAGAACATCAGTTAATGTGGACGTTTGAAATGCCAGTTTTTTGGCTGTGTTTTAAAAAGACAATCCTCAAGCTATATATACAGCTGATTGCACATACAAAACTGAATGGGCAGAGAAATATTCCTGTATGTCTGATTGTCCGACTCTTCGAAACACAATGAAAAAAAAGGTTTCACATATTCCTCTTTTGCATATGTAAATTGGGGTCATAATGGTGAAAATGTAGTTGCTCTTGTCTTCCTTTTATAGAACAGTTTACAAAGTTATCCAGTCATCTTCATTTAATGGTGGTTTTTGGAAAAATACAGAACTCTATAATCTGGGTCAAAACCAAATCCTCAGAGTACTTCAGCTTTTTGAACAGGTGGAGAATGCATTTTGAGGAGGAACACAAGCACAGTAGTTCTTCAGTCTAGATAGCTTCAAGTGACAAATATTTTGTCTTTTCTGATTGCTCCCTATAATCTCAATTAAACTTTTTTGCAAAATTTAAGTGATTTTCTAGAATTCTGTAGAACAAGGGCTTTTCTTTCCATCTTCTTCATATAGGGAGCAGGATAATTTAAAAAGCATTCTCAGCAAAAACAGCAATATGGGGATTGAGTACTTTCTTAGTGTGATCTCTGCATGAAGGCTGGTAAAAAATAGATAAGAGCATAAGGGAAAATGATTCCATATGGAGAAAAAAAAAGGTGGAATTCTTTGGGAGATTTTCAGTTTGCTTTTAAGTACTAGTGTGGCTTCATACATTTTCAGAAGCAGACTTAAAAATAAAATGGCAGAACATGTTTTAAAAATCATTTCTCAACACTGCCACTAAGATGACATACACCTAAGTGCACCATGAAATATTAAGTGTGAATCCCAAGCAGAATTCCAGCTGATGATAGCAAAATAACCAAAGGAATTTGCAAAGAATGGAACAAAAGCTAGTTAGTATGTATTGGTCCTGGTACCTGAAGTTGTTTGAAGCCTGTGTCTCTGTGTTGACTAGTGCTCTGACTGTGTATTATCAAATAACTTGGCAGTATAGATTTGATCTGGATTACACATAACTGCACTAGGGCACTTCAGTTGAATTATCAAGAGATCACATTATGGTACTTTTCCTGGTTTCATACTTGATACTAAATTTATCTGGCTGGTGGAGATGGGGTGATAACGATCTGACATCTGCTTGGACAAAGATATTCCACAAAACTTTTTGTATAGATGTGAAGTGGCAGAGTGACCCTGTGCTGGTTCAGCATTTCATGCCATGTGGCTGCAATATTACTTATCATGTACCTTAAATCCAATTTTCCTTTTTCAAAGCTTGAAAAATAGTAATTTAAAAAGTAAAGACAAATAAGGGGAATCTCCACCCCCCAAAAAAATCTTCAGAATAGATTCTTGGGATCATTGCTATACAGTTGAGGATTTGAGCAGTTGTGATAGCTTCTTATGTCTATCCAATTTGAGTCTTATTCTACTTCTGGGATGGTGGAATTACACACTGTGCCATAGTTGACCTGATTTCCAAAGCTATAAGTTACAGTCCAGTACAACTGTATTACAAGCATGTAAGGATTTGCATACTTTGACTTATAAGATACAGTTACTGCTATAAAAACATCACTGAAATGCTCTGTCTTAGGCAGAGGAAAAAAATATTCTTAATTCTGAGGCACATTGAGCTCATAACTCCAAAGACTGAAGATCTAGTGATTTAAACAGTTTGTACGTCTTTTTGCTTATTTTCCCATACATTTGCTTTTATCTCTAATTTATTTCACTCGACCATGGTCTGCTACAATCAGTAAGTTATTCTTTATAAAATCCTGATTTCCGCTGATCATCCTTCAGGATAAAGTAGAATGAGTTTCAAGACATTACTAGGGTAGGCACACCACAGTGGAACTTCCTAGTGGACTGGGTAATTATTAGTATTGTTTTAAGTATTGTATTGGGTAATAAGCAGTAAAATTGCCATCAGAGAGTGAAATTTTTCTGCTCACAAATGGAGAACAGAACAAATAGGAACATGGTTTAAATATTTGCATATTTTTAATTCTATGGATAAATGCATCGCTGCAAAAAAACATTTTCCAAAGTACTTTGTGGAACTAGAAT